TTTCATTATCATTATCACAAACCATAGTCATGGACATAAATAAATTTGGTACAAAATTATCATTTTTATAATGAACTACATAATACACTACCAGATGACCGAGAAGACGAAGCAACATTGTTGCAAAATAATAAATGGTGGGCGCTTTTATAAAATATAAAAGTTTGGGACAATTTTAAAAAATTTAAAAAAATATAACAGTAATATTTTGGACAAAACCAGCTTCTGAGCTGATTTTGGGATGTATTTTGGGATTTGAAAATTTGTGAATATAAATAAATATGTATTTTGCAAAAAACAAAAATTAGAAAAAAAATTGGAAAATTTATGGCCAAGTGGGTCCAAAGAATAGTCTGTTTTTGAACTTGTAAGTTATTGGAGTTTTGCTTTTTCACAAAATGAGAATTAGTAGTGACTTTAATTTGTGGCTTTTACGCAATGGTTGGATATGGTTATGACATTATTGAAGATTTGACCCCCATTAATTGACTTTTGCTTTTTCGTTATGCTCTTTTATTCACCACTTGGCTGATAATGAGTGTACCACTAATATCATTTTGTGGTTACATGTCATCCCAACTATGCCTGTTATTTCCCTTTTATCCACAAATTAAAAGGATTGTTTTATGCAGATGCCAATCTATAATTTTTTTGTTTAAGTGTTGACTGTTGAGCACCACTATAATTTCAGATTACATTTATGTTTGTGCTTCTAGAATTAATAAATATGACATTTGCTTTCTCCGTTTATTTTGTCATTCACTTTGGTTGTATCACACATATAGATATGTGAGCCATATTGAATAAGATGCATTATTCTCTTTAGATCAGCTGTAAACTTTATAAATGTCACAATCACCGCAACTTGGACAATGTCTTTACTTTTTAAGTGATCAAAAATTTCGCATCTTAATATATAATTGTTATGCCAAAAAAAAAAACTATGATGTTCTCATTTTGCAATATAATTGGGGGAGAAACATATACTCCCTCCGTCTCATGTTATGTTGTGATGAAGCTCAGCGAGCTATGGTGACTCCATTGGAGTCCGACCTTGGAAGCTTCGAGAAGAAGAAGAAAAAGGAACAGAGAAATGAAGTCTGGAAAATATCTGTCTAACTTTATTTCTCCACTCAGTTCTGTATATATGTATAAAAGAGAAAATACAAATACTACACTTAAAGTGAAAGAATAAAGAATAAAAGTACTGGGCCGGGTCACATAATTGGGCCAGCTGTGTGTGTAGTGGACTGGGCTCTAACACCCCCACCCCCACCCCCCCCACCCCTCAAGCTTGAGGGTGATGAAACACCAAGCTTGCCAAGAATACCATAATACAGCTGGCTGGGCAAAGCTTTAGTCATAATATCTGCCAGTTGTNTTACATCTCTCCCAATAGGAATAAAATGGAGAATTTACAGGGGGTTGGGCAACTCTTCCATCTAACAAGCCTAATTTGTTTTTAGTAGAAAGAGAAGTGAGCATGCTGCTTCTCCACAATACAAAACCATGTCCGTTGAAGGGAACAGGCACTAATTGGCTATCCGGATTATCGGATGGATGCACATAAAAGGGATGAAAAGGATCTATTGTGAAAGGAGCAAATCCTTCAGTATTGGGAACTGAGGGTGAAACGATATGATCTCCGTTAATAATCATATTTTCTAACAGTAGAAACTAATCGACACAGCAATACACAACAGGCTCAAAGTGACAACATGCAGATGACATACAAACTGTCACATACACCTCCAATCTATATCACCTAAAATACTACAATATAAGTTTCAGAGTTGTAGATTAAAACGACATTACCAGCCTCCTTCTCAAAACCCGAAGAGGTGAGGTCTTCGTGCAGAAACCAAACCCTAGCTTGAGATTAGCCCCAAATTGTTTGAATCCATCATGAAATCAGGAATTCCAGTCGGCTTAACTGACGCAAGGAGAGATTCCAGTAAAAGCCCCAAATTTTCTTTCGCGTAATGATGGATCGACGAAGTTCTCGAACTTTACTCAAGAGATCGATTTCAGTGAAATCTTCGAACGATTTACCATTGAAGACGAAGCTTACGTGATGAGGAATTAGAATACCCGCTCTGATACCATGTTGTGATGAAGCTCAGCGAGCTATGGTGACTCCATTGGAGTCCGACCTTGGAAGCTTCGAGAAGAAGAAGAAAAAGGAACAGAGAAATGAAGTCTGGAAAATATCTGTCTAACTTTATTTCTCCACTCAGTTCTGTATATATATTTACAAGTAAAATGTATGTATAAAAGAGAAAATACAAATACTACACTTAAAGTGAAAGAATAAAGAATAAAAGTACTGGGCCGGGTCACATAATTGGGCCAGCTGTGTGTGTAGTGGACTGGGCTCTAACAGAAATCTCGATGAAACCTTTTTGATCAAAGCACAATTTACTCAAATAGGGTAATTCTTAGTAATCTGTTCACTGTTTTGCTGAAAATTAAAAGACACATAGAGACTGCAATTAACTACTCATTCAGTTAATTCGGACAAAAAGATGAAAGATTAATGTCATTTGTTGAGAATTACTGACAGCAGTATGGAAAACAATGGCGTCAAACCAATAAATGCACCAGTGATTCGGTAAATGAAATTGTATGGGCCAGAATTCGACCCCACGATAATTAGCGAGGCTAATCCCGTTAATAGTTAATTCACGATTAATTAGTGGCACGACCACTCAGAATTGACGATGCTCAACCCGTCCCTGGCTCGGTCAACAAAGGCCCCGGCCTATCCACCACTGAGGGACAGCTCACGAAGCCCACAGCTATAAATACCAAGAGAAGGGACCCCAAAAAACGGGGCTTCTTGACCACTAGTAAGAGGAGAGAGAAACAAGAAAATATACCCCTCTTATGGGAAGAGGAAACACCATTGTAAGGCTCTGAACCTCTTCATGGAGAGGCAGACCAAACAAATATTATCAATAAAGGTTTCCAATGCTTCTCCCCCTAATTCTGAGTTCTTAATTTAGTTTCTTTCATTTTAGTCCAACGGATTATTACGATTTGCTATGATTATCCCGGGATTAATTTATATTGTTTAGTACTCGTAAGATGTGTAACATTTTTTGAGCAAACAATTTGGCGCCGTCTGTGGGGATTTCATAACAAAATCGCGTAGTTCTTCCCTGGACCAAAAGAAAAGAAGCGCCAAACTCGAAGGGGAGCTCGAAGATCTCAAATCAAGATCTAAGTCCTCACTCTCTCTCCAATCTCAGATAGTGCAAACAAGAAGAAGAGGCCCCCTCCTTTCCTCAGGGGAGGTCTCTGTAAGGCATACGAACTCCGGTCGGAAACCGGCACGGAGATATCTCGAGCCGAGATTCGCCTCAAGACTGCCTATATACCCTGGTTGGGAAGACAATGGGTAAGCCGCTCAAGGTCTCGAATCCCAAAACGAGTTCCAGCACTCGATACCCACAATATGGGATTCAGGTTCTGTGCCTTCGTCATCAAGATCGACAAAGTTCAACTACGGTTGAACCAGGACTCAGGCTATGCGCCTTCGCCAAAAATTCAACTACGGTTGAATCAAGACAGGCTACGCGCCTTCGCCAAAAATTCAACTACGGTTGAATCAAGACAGGCTATGCGCCTTCACCAACGAGTTCAACTACGGTTGAACCGGGGCTCAGGCTACGTGCCTTCGCCAAAAATTCAACTACGGTTGAATCAAGACAGGCTATGCGCCTTCACCAACGAGTTCAACTACGGTTGAACCGGGACTCAGGCTACGTGCCTTCGCCAAAAATTCAACTACGGTTGAATCAAGACAGGCTATGCGCCTTCACCAACGAGTTCATCTACGGTTGAATCGGGACTCAGGCTACGTGCCTTCGCCAAAAATTCAACAACGGTTGAATCAAGACAGGCTACGCGCCTTCGCCAAAAATTCAACTATGGTTGAATCAAGACAAGCTACGCGCCTTCTCCAAAAATTCAACTACGGTTGAATCAAGACAGGCTATGCGCCTTCACCAACGAGTTCAACTACGGTTGAACCGAGACTCAGGTTATGCGCCTTCGCCAAAAATTCAACTACGGTTGAATCAAGACAGGCTATGCGCCTTCATTAGCAAGTTCGACTACGGTTGAACCGGGACTCAGGCTACGTGCCTTCGCCAAAAATTCAACTACGGTTGAATCAAGACAGGCTATGCGCCTTCACCAACGAGTTCAACTACGGTTGAACCGGGACTCAGGCTACGTGCCTTCGCCAAAAATTCAACTACGGTTGAATCAAGACAGGCTATACGCCTTCGCCAAAAAATTCAACTACGGTTGAATCAAGACAGGCTATGCGCCTTCACCAACAGTTCAACTACGGTTGAACCAGGACCAGGCTACGTGCCTTCGCCAAAAATTCAACTACGGTTGAATCAAGACAGGCTATGCGCCTTCACCAACGAGTTCAACTACGGTTGAACCGGGACTCAGGCTACGTGCCTTCGCCAAAAATTCAACTACGGTTGAATCAAGACAGGCTATGCGCCTTCACCAACAAGTTCAACCACGGTTGAACCAAGACAGGCTACGTGTCTTCGCCACCAAATTTAACGAAGCCCAACAACAGTCGAACTGGGACTCAGGCTATGTGCCTTCATCATTAAATCCAACGAGCTCGACCTCGCTCGAACTATAAGGATGGATGCCTTCGTCCTCAACTTTAGCAAGTTCAACTACAGTTGAACCGAGACTCAGGCCAAACGCCTTCATCTGTGAAAGCAAAGCCCGACCTCCAACTAATCGAAGCGCAGGATAGGCACCCTCGCCATCCAAGTAAGTTCTCCCAACTCGAATTAAGATTCGGGCCACGTAAAGTTCGGCCCCGGTCGAACTACGAGGCCGCGTTTTTTACTATCACGACCGGTAGTTCGACCGCGTCCAAACTGGGACTAAGGCTAAGCGCCGCTATCGCCAAATAACAGCTAAGACTCGCCCGCACCGAGTTGAAAAACGGAAGACCATCAACTATATATGGCTAAGGCCATCGCCGCAACGGTCGACCTAGGTTNTTTCTCCACTGTGTGTCCAGGTTTCTTGCAATATTTGCAAGAAACAGAGTTGGGTTTTCTGGAGTCAAAATTGATCCTTTGATTGAAGTTTCTATTTGGTGTGGTTGAAGATACAGAGAAAGAGGCAGATTCATTGGAAAATTTTGGTACTGAAGCTTGAGTCTCTCTTTGGCTCCCATCTTGTTGCAAAAGAGAGTAAGCTTTGCTTATTGGAGGTAGGGGATTCATAAGCATAATAGCATTTTTCACAGTTGAATAGGAGTCATTTAGCCCATTTAGGAATTGAAATAGTTGTTGATCCTCAATAAATTTGGGAACGGCCCCACAAGAACATATAGGGCCTACATATGAAGAATTTAACTCATCCCAAAGACTCCTAAATTTGGTGAAATATGTGGCAATGTCATATGACCCTTGGACAGTTGAACTGATTTCTCTTTGAATTTGAAGATATTTAGACCCATTGGACTGACCAAACCTTTCATTAATGTTAGTCCAAACCTCCTTAGCAGTCCTAAAACAAATCACACTTGTGGCTATGTCCCTGGAAACAGAGTTGATAATCCAGGATTTTACCATGTCATTACATCTCTCCCAATAGGAATAAAATGGAGAATTTACAGGGGGTTGGGCAACTCTTCCATCTAACAAGCCTAATTTGTTTTTAGCAGAAAGAGAAGTGAGCATGTTGCTTCTCCACAATACAAAACCATGTCCATTGAAGGGAACAGACACTAATTGGCTATCCGGATTATCGGATGGATGCACATAAAAGGGATGAAAAGGATCTATTGTAAAAGGAGCAAATCCTTCAGTATTGGGAACTGAGGGTGAAATGATATGATCTCCGTTAATAATCATATTTTCTAACAGTAGAAACTAATCGACACAGCAATACACAACAGGCTCAAAGTGACAACATGCAGATGACATACAAACTGTCACATACACCTCCAATCTATATTACCTAAAATACTACAATATAAGTTTCAGAGTTATAGATTAGAATGACATTACCAGCCTCCTTCTCAAAACCCGAAGAGGTGAGGTCTTCATGCAGAAACCAAACCCTAGCTTGAGATTAGCCCCAAATTGTTTGAATCCATCATGAAATCAGGAATTCCAGTCGGCTTAACTGACGCAAGGAGAGATTCCAGTAAAAGCCCCAAATTTTCCTTCGCGTAATGACGGATCGACGAAGTTCTCGAACTTTACTCAAGAGATCGATTTCAGTGAAATCTTCGAATGATTTACCGTTGAAGACGAAGCTTACGTGACGAGGAATTAGAATCCCCGCTCTGATACCATGTTGTGATGAAGCTCAGCGAGGTATGGTGACTCCATTGGAGTCCGACCTTGGAAGCTTCGAGAAGAAGAAGAAAAAGGAACAGAGAAATGAAGTCTGGAAAATATCTGTCTAACTTTATTTCTCCACTCAGTTCTGTATATATATTTACAAGTAAAATGTATGTATAAAAGAGAAAATACAAATACTACACTTAAAGTGAAAGAATAAAGAATAAAAGTACTGGGCCGGGTCACATAATTGGGCCAGTTGTGTGTGTAGTGGACTGGGCTCTAACATATTTTCTGTCATGTTTTTCTTCTACACGCCCCTTAAGAAACGTTAATTAGAAAAGAGATTAAGACTATTATACCCTTATTTATGTCTTACGATAAAATTTTCTTTCATTGAATATTTATTCTTTTTATGTGTTATTTCCATCTTCAAGAACAATTATTATTAAGGGTAAAAAAGGAAAAAAAATAATTAATTTTGTTTTGAACTTTTAAAGTGACAAATAATTTGAGACAACTATTTTTAATAACTACGACTGTTAATAGTAAAAGGTCATTTTTCATCCAAAAGGCGTGGTTGAAAATTAAACTATAAACAAAAGGAAAGCTTTCCCCTTGGGCAAAGACGATGTGCATTTTGTTGGTTCAACTATTTATTACTACTGGTTTGGCGTGATTTACCTTTGATTTTGTTACAGTAAAAAGTGTGCCACTCAAAAAAGAAAAAAAAGAAAAACAAAGCAAACTAGATAATATAGTGACAACATGTTTCTTTTCTTTTCTTTTCTTTATATGCGTCTTTCACTTCGAGAAATCAATATTTATTTTTCACTTGTTTTATATGTGACTAATACTTGTATTAATCGGTTGGAAGCAGGTGACTATCAGCTGACCCAATTCCTCTATCTCTCTCTATATATATCATCTTGCTCTATGTCTAGGGATTATTATCAATAATAATAATATCAACTACTCATGTTAAAGGATGCTTTCTACGGGGAGCAACTAGTGAAAGAACATTCTTTTGCACCTTAATATATACTCCACTAGTTCCCAAAAAGTCAATGACTCCATATTTTATCAGGATTAGGATTCTAATTCCGAAATAAACTTGTATTGGGAAAAAACTGAATTCATATTGAAGGTGACGTGGCATGACACGTGGATCGGTCAAATACTCAAAGCAGGATGGTCAGTTAAGAGGCACAGGCGATATCAGATACGAGGAGAAGAAAGTTAAATAGGCACGAGAAGCTATTCAAAAGATACGAGTCTCGTATCTATTTAACTTAATTAAAGTCAGGAGGTCAGAAGGAATTGAAGATATGAATCTGAGGGCATAAAGGAGTCTAAATTCAGTATTAAATGACAAATACGTTAGAGAATCAATATTGATTCTGAATGATTGTGTAACGTTTCATTTAATGTTATTTAATGCTCATAATTGCCTCTTTAAGGCTAAGGTGTTATACCTTTTCCTAGAAAAGACAACTATAAAAGGAGGAGGTCTCATCATTTGTAAGGACACGAAATATCATTGTGATTACATTAGAATACAAACTTATTTACTGCATTTATTATCCACAAAAAATTTCTTATTCTTTTCGTCTCCTGATTATCAATAACCCAATTTTTTCTCTTAAATTCTAGTTTTAACCGAAAATTCTATTTTTTGGTTAAACAAATTGGTTCCGTTACCGGAAATCTGATAATCAAGCATATCTCAATCTAATTTTCCTGATTGCGTCAATCATGTCAAACAACAATGACAACACTCAAGGAAACCCAGAAATTCAGACAATCCAACAACTTCAGGGAGATTCCCCACAAGGTTCTCCACAAGGCTCCCCACGACGATCTCGTGAAGGCACTCCTGATGGATCTTATACGGATGGACAGGCTCAATTTGAAAACGCTGAAACCATGAATGAGGCTCTGCAAAAACTTATCGATGCTCAAGTTAATAACGCTCTCCAAGCTTTTGTTCGTCAATTGCCTGCTGTTCCACCTACATCTGCTCCAAACAACAACACTTTGGAGAATCCTCGTTAAGGATTGTTTAATTCTGGCACCGGTGGAACCCCTAGTGAAACACAAGAGAGAGACCCAGGTAATCCAGTTAATTCTGATTTATAAAGTCTAGTACTAACCTTACAGAAACAGCTTAAGGAGCAAAATGAACGCATAGAGCAAATACCTGGAGTACCGTCCGTGATCAAGGGCGTGGATATAGATAAATATTCCCAACAACCATGGAAGCCAAGTGCTGTTCCCCTTCCAATTCCAAAGAAGTTCAAAATGCCTGATATTCCAAAGTATGATGGTACATCAGACCCACGAGATCACGTTACTGCATTCACAACAGGTGTCAAGGGCAATGATTTGACTAAGCAAGAAATTGAGTCGGTCTTGGTCAAGAAATTCGGTGAAACACTCACTAAAGGAGCCCTAACATGGTATTCCCTTTTACCTGAAAATTCTATAAATTTGTTTGCTGAGCTTGCAGATTTATTTATTAAAGCACACTCGGGAGCTCAAAAAGTTGAAAAGCGAATGGAAGATATCTTCAAAATCAAGCAAGGAGACTCAGAGTTGCTTAGAGAGTTCGTAGATAGATTTCAACGGGAAAGAATGACGCTGCCACGAGTACCTGACAATTGGGCAGCCATAGCCTTTGCTAGTAATTTAAATGAGAAGAGTTCAGAAGCCACGAGGCGACTCAAAGAAAGCCTTCGAGAATTCCCAGCAACAACGTGGAATGATGTCTACAACAGATACAGCACAAAGATGAGGATTGAAGAAGACATTATTTTACGACATAAAACAGAAGAAAAGGTAAGTTCAAAGCGTGTGGAAAATGAAAAGAGATCCGGTAAAAACAGGTACGAGCCATACATGGGACCTGTGGGAAAGGACCCACGGTCAAGACAAGATAATCAAAGGTACGATCACAGACCTAGGAACAGGGAATCAGGCTCCTCATCAAGGTTTGGGAACGATCGAAACACACGCGGGTCACGAGATGATGATGGAAGTTTGAAGGCAAGATTTGGTGGGTATAATTTCAATGTCACTACCTCCGAGCTCGTAGCTGTTTTGAGGAGCATGGGGGATAAGGTACGGTGGCCGAAAGAGATGCGGTCAAATCCCAATAAGCGCAATCCAGATCATTGGTGCGAATTTCACAATGATCACGGGCATAAAACTTCAGAATGTAGATTTTTGCAAAGTGAAGTGGACCATCATTGAAGCAAGGGTATCTCACTGAGTTATTTAGTGAGAAAGTAAAGCAAGCCTACATGAAAATAGGCAAGAACACCAAAGCCCCCATCACCAAAACGAACCGTGAAATGTTATAAAGTGGGGGTAGAAGATAGTTTATGTAAGTAACATATACGGC